CACCCACACACAAACACCCGCCCAAACTGATCCTGATGCTTTCTCTGACACAGTGTCGTCATTCTCGCGTTTGTCTGCAGCCATGGGTCCATCCTATTGTGTCTTTTCTGAGTCCGGTGAGTTTTTTGGTTCCGAGTTCATTTTAACTGTTGTTGATATGCATGTAGATGTAGATCAGCACACATACACACACATCGATGCGACAACATCAGCTTCTGAAATTTACGCATTGTCCAAGCATGCGCTTCTGTAATCTGTGACAGCCCAATAAAGGTGGATGCTAAGGGCTAACCATCAGCTTGTGAAATTTACCGAAGATGGTTGTCAAAGCTTATTCTATATAATATGCGACAACCCCACAAAGGTGGATGCTACGGGCCACCACCACAATGTAATATCCAAGGCGCTCAGCTTCCAAAGTCTCGCCCCTGCCACCTGCAACTCTTGCGCCTGCCACGCTGTTTTCTACTTCCCCACTTCACGGGTGTGATTTGTATGGGCCTGCCAATGCAACGCACATGCAACACACATGCAACACTCATGCAACACACATGCAACACACATGCAACACACATGCAACACGAGCATTTTCCCTGTAAATTTCCAAGCAAAGTGGCCGCGGGGGCAAAAATCTACACTTTCCATTCTAAGACCGGAGTTGGGGCTGCAAACGCTGCAAACGTGAAATCCTGCACGTTGACTGTAAATTTACAGGTAGAAAACTCATGTTGCATGTCGTGTTGCATGTGTGTTGCATGTGTGTTGCATGTGCGTTGCATGGCAGGTGTGCAGGATAGAGCAGTCCCACGCAGAACGACAGCCAGCGCACCCCACGACATTGCGGAATCAGGTCAAAAAGGTGTCAATACTGTCGCTGCATGTACGACATTGCGGAATCAGGTCAAAAAGGTGTGAAGACTGTCGCTGCATGTATTTCACTTAGCACAACCCATATTAGCACATATGCGCCCGCGCAAGCAAACAGACACACCCACACACAAACAACTCCCGCCCCCCCGGCCCCCCCAAACTAGTATCCTGATCGCCTTATACTCGACACAGATTCGTCATCATCTCAGTTTGCGCGGCCATTACGGGATCCATCCTATTGTGTCTTTTCTGAGTCCGGGTTCTTCAAAAAAAACAGCCATCCCATGAAGTACCACACCACAGAGGTCATGCCCCCCCCGTCCCCCAATTCAATGTTGTCTTCTGAATTTTGTGTTTTGGCGGCCTTCAAAAAAAACAGCCATTTCTGTTGATGATGCTCGGCACTTCCGATCACAACATTGAAGTTGGGGGTTGCGGGGGTAAGCAGGGTATCTCTGTGGTTTCTTGTGGATGGCTGTTTTTTTTGAAGAACCCGGTATGAGTGCAGTTGATGTTGTGAAAATATGTGAGGTCACATACCATGTGAGTCTGCACAATGCACCTCACAAAATATGAAGACGAATGGCAGATAAATGATAAATGTACATAGTAAACTCAGTAAACAAATGTAAGCAGCGTCTTCCCTTCCTTGGGTATGTTTCCTCTTGCATCCAACTGACACAAGCACAGGCAAAGCAATGTGCCATGGTATCCTCTCGACGCAGCTGCCTGGGATCTGAACAAATGAGCCCCCCCCTTTCACCCGTGCTTAAGGATGCTTAAGGCATACTCAGCCGAGATTCCTTCTTCACCAGTAGCATCACCAAATAAGTCTAATGTAGATAATGTAGTGAGACATGTTCTTCAAGTGCTAGAAAAACGAAACAAGTAAAATACTGCAAGAAATGTCAAGGCACAGTCTCAGGGCCAGCGGCATGTACTTTGACATTGCAAATACAGCAGGCGAATAGAACTGATAGAGGAAATGAAGAAAGCCACCAATGTAGGCCTAGCAGCAGACATACTGAGCCCCACGCTGGCAATTAGAGGTCTGCGTAGGGGAATGTACTGGCACTTGGCACAAGGATGTACATACATCTATGGAAATGAACAAATCACAACAAAAAGGCAGCTTCGCAGCTATGTCTATACCCTGTGGTCAGAGGTCGCTTTTGTTGGTTCATCAACCCCGTACCTCTGAAACCGAGTCGAGATTCACTGCTAAACAGTGTCAACGCCCATAGCCGGCGAACATCAAACTTGCCCTCTTCATGCCCCCTTGGCCAAAGGTGCAACATCACGGAACTTTGGCTTAGCTGGGTGGAACAAGATAAACAACATTAAACAACCATGAGATAGATTAAGCAAGTCTGTAAAGGCTATACTTTAGAAAGGTATCTTCATGCAAAATATTGATAAATATTGCAATTATGAATCCTCAAACACGAAGCAAGGGCTTCCGTGCGTCGGAGCCTCATGCACAACATTAGACTGAGGCAAAGGCCACTTCAAATCCTCAATTTCCTGCCAGAGTCAGATCAGCCATGACAGGCTCATGGGGCCTTTCTCTCAACAAAACACGAGTCATCACGAGTCAATTCTGTCCTTGGGTGCCGGTCGCTTCTCTATCAGAATTTGGCAGACCACATCTCCAATGAAACCGAGTGCAGACCTCTGACCAAGCCGTTTACGCAAGCATCCAAGTGAAGGCACTGATCTAGAGCGTCTCGAAAGGATAAAAAATCGCGGAAGAAAGTAACATACTCCTAGAATCTGTCGAAGGCTACTTGAAATCTGAGACAAAAAGCTGGTTTCCTTGCATTCTGTCTCAGGACCTTGCGGTTTTTTACAGATGTGTCAACTGCCATTTCACCCCCAAATGGTAATCTTCATCTGCTATTCTGCTATTCATTGGATAAAACATAATAAAACATATGATAGGGGATACAGTAGTAGGGGTGGAGGACTGAAAAAACTCCTGGAGGACTCCCCAGATTTCGTGCGGACTTAGTGGGTCAGGCCAGGGTCCCATGGTCCCATGGTCCCATGGTCCCGGTCGGTCCCGGTCGTTGGACGCATCTGGGGCTCGCCGCGCACTCAGCAAGTCGCTCCGAAGGCTTGGATCGAAGACCTGGCGTATCCGACGCAGCGCCATGGCGCCGCAACGGTGACCGAGGCACAGACCGAGGAAAAAAACGGGTCGGCTGCAAAACCAAGTTCTGATCTAAGATGATCTAAGATGATCTAAGATGATCCTAAGATGATCTAAGATGATCTAAGATGATCTAAGATGATCTAAGATGATCTAAGATGATCTAAGATGATCTAAGATGTTCTAAGATGATCTAAGATGATCTAAGATGATCTAAGATGATCTAAGATGATCTAAGATGATCTAAGATGATCTAAGATGATCTAAGATGATCTAAGATGATCTAAGATGATCTAAGATGATCTAAGATGTTCTAAGATGATCTAAGATGATCTAAGATGATCTAAGATGATCTAAGATGATCTAAGATGATCTAAGATGATCTAAGATGATCTAAGATGATCTAAGATGATCTAAGATGATCTAAGATGATCTAAGATGATCTAAGATGATCTAAGATGTTCTAAGATGATCTAAGATGATCTAAGATGATCTAAGATGTTCTAAGATGATCTAAGATGATCTAAGATGATCTAAGATGTTCTAAGATGTTCTAAGAATCTTAGAATCAGAACATTGAGTTGTTGAGATCTACGGCCACAGCAAATTACGTGCAAAGTGGATCTGAAATGATTTGAATAGTTGCTAGCTGCTAGATGCTGCTAGTGAATGAGAGCTGCGGGAAATTTGACCTTTGCAAGATCACCCGTTGTAAACGTTGACTCTGATATCCTTGATTGACATCACAGTATTGAGCTTGACCCAAACGGAACACCAATGTGCAACTGGATGTTGTGAGACTTCCAGATCTTCCTGTTGAAAAATCCAAGCTGTGGCGAAAGCAAAACTAGACAAGCTAGCAACTACTTTCATATTCTGTTTAGGATAAATTACTGCTTTCTGCCATTCATCACAATTCTACATCTTTTTTCGGAATCTCCGAGATGGCCTTTTTCAAGCAAAGTGTGATCACCACATATCACCAGGAACAGCGGTTGCATAGTCACAGCGCCCATGGAAAGATGTCGAAGGCTGGGGTGAGCCGTTCCAGCCGGGCAGCATAGCACCCAAGGGGGGATCAAGGTTACATAAGATTACTATAGGGGGCTGAAAATGGGGATACCCCTAAAGTTGCAATTTCAGTGGAGAAAATGATGATAAACCACAGAAATTTGGGGCTATAAGCCTATGGATTTCAGAAACAACGTGGACATACGGACACAAAAAAAATTAGACACGGGAG